CAAAATTTACACACTTCTTAAAAGTTAAGTTAACAACTAGTATTAAAAAAATTCAAAAGAATCAGAATTATCAAATAGATAATAATCTCAAAAATATGCTTGGATATCCCCTGGCTTCCTTCTCTGACCTTGATGCCAATCTCTCAGAGTCAATTATTCTTGATTCAACCATTACTTTACTTTCAAACTTTATAAACTTATTAGAAATCAAGCTGACTACTTCTATAAAAAATAATTGTCTCAATCTAACTAGCGGATTGATAGATATCTAAGAAAACCTCACTAGTCCTCAAAATCCTAAATTCTAAGACCACAATCCACAAAAATCTTCATGCTTTTTAATCTAATTTTTTGATCAAATGCAAATTCATAACACACATCAAGTACAATTACACCTACAAATTTAAAAAATTTTACTAGTAGATCTATTGCCAATCTTACAAAATTCTCCAAAAAATATCACCTATTTTATTTCACAAATCTAGAGTCATCCAAAACAAACCCCGACTTTGCAAAGCTCTAACAAAGTCAATACATACTCAAATTACTCCAAATCAATGCTCAAAGAAATCTTATCAAGTCAATTCCTAGATCTTATTCTCCAATCTCCAAAAAAATCCAAGAATCGTCATTGAGGCTTAGTTTTATGCCTTGGGATCTGATTTCAACCTTGATTCATAACTAGCCCTCTCAGGGTATTAATATCTAGTTTTTCTAAGTAATTTTTGCTAGAATTTATTTTTAACTTCTTTTTTAAGATGCCTATATTATTTATTTTTCGAATCTATTTTTTTTGCCTTATTTAGGGTCCTATAAAATAAGTAGAAGTCACTTTTCTAAAAAGGCAATATTACTATTAAAAGTTTTACTACCTTCCTATTTTTTACCCATATTTTTTTACTTTATCTTTTAACTTGGATCTTTTATAATAAGATCCATATTATCATCTTTTATCATATAGTCGTATTACAATATGACACCATGATATCCAATCTCAAACTGCCAACTTCTAATACCTTCTTATACCAAATCGTAGATATCTTCAAATTGCATTGTTAGATTAATACAAAATTTTATAGATACTTAGCATACTAAATTAATCAAGAATTCTCAAATTTCGAACTATAGATGTAATACCAATTGCACGAACTAGCTAATAATGCTAGCCCTAATTATGTTGCATAAATTCCAAGTCACAAATATAAACCATGACTTTGAACAATAATTACAAAGTCATTCTAAATCCTACAAAAATAAACCTTACACTCTTAGAATAAGCTTAAAGCTAGCTCACAAATCTTTATTGCTAATTTTCAAAAGATCTCCTATTTTTTCTTAAGCAACCATTTTAGTAGCTAGAGATTTAATTTTGACCATGTTCCATAAATAATCAATCTCCAAGTATCAATCCAATCTAAGGGATTTTTTTAGCATGATCCTATCCTAAACTTAATCTTAGTATCAACCATATTAATTATTTATCTCTTCTATTCTATTTTTATCAATTTAAAGTATTTTTAAGGTAATAAAAAATAATTTTAAAGTCTAGAAGGTAAAATTATTAATCAATCTTTAATCTACTAGCTATTAAGATAGAAAAATAAATAAAAAATATTTTATAAATGCCATGTTCAAATATCTTGGATTATTATTGAACCAAGATGATTATATATTAATTAAAATTTTATTTTTGATTATATTTTTACCATATAGTTGTGTTATAATACAACAACAGCCGTATTATAGCTTAAAAAACTCTTTTTCCAACACATTATCTTCTTTGGCAATTGTACTCCCCATTTTGTGATTGTGTTGCTTCTTTGAATAATATTGAATAATGTTTCTAGCTTCTCTAAAATATAAGTACAAATCCTCTTAATATCGTTGAGACTTTTTTTACTTTATGAGGGATTGAAAATGCACCGTATTAATTTGCATTGGTTGTAATCTTGAAAATTAAGTTTTAAAAAACTTGAAAAGTGCTATTACTACTTGACTTGTTTCTCTCCAATCAAATCTTTGTTCTTGATGTCTTTCAAATAATTGATTATTGCATGCAATAGCTTAAGCAATAAATTATTTTAAAGATTTTATTTTTGACATTATTAATAACAAATCTTTAATGTTATCCTTTAATCTATATCAAAATTGATTGATAAGAGCTTTGTCATTGCAATCCATATTACAAACAAGGTTTTAGAATTTAATAGCATATATGGTAGCTCACTGTAAACCTTATCATAAAAATAAGAGCTTGATTTCTTTTACTCGTTCTTGATTTTTTTCTTTGAATGTGATTATAAATATTTCTAGAAATGAATTCAAATCATATAGAAGTTTTAAATTTTTTTCTATCAAAGGTGCAAATTAAGAGAGAGCACTTCTAGGAAGAAATGCATCTATAAATCCAACTTGAGTAAATCCATAATGGTATTCAAAGGAATGCAACTTTAGATATAATTTGACTTATTGCAACAACTTTCTAGATTTGGTTGTGAGGTTGATCTTCTTGTTTTCTTCAAGTGCACAACTTCTTGAGGTAGACTTTGAACTTCTTCCATAGGCATAGGAATAATATTTCCATGATGTATATTAGAAATACATAAGATTTTGATTATTAAAGTGTTGACAAGCTCGTGAAGAACTGTAATAGTTATAAATCTATTTTCACTTCTACTAAAGATAGTATCAATAATCTTTTCTTTTATAGATAATTCAAATAAATTTAATTTATTAATTTAAAGGGAGGTAATTTGTAACCTTTAATATCATACAAAAATTTCCATAAGAAGATGTAATCTACTTTCTTTAAAGAAAAAATTAGTGTTAAAAAATAAGATTATTTGTTTAAAGGTGGATAGTCTATAACCTTCAAAATATAACAATAGAAGTATGGTGATCCACTTATTTTTAAAATAAGATAGAAATAGTAAGTTAGTATTCATGTCAAACTATCAAAGACATGAACTTCAAAGAATTAAAATATCAATATACTCTTGTGCCACTAAAAAAGCCTAAAAATTTATTTGAAGATGATATAATATTTAATTAAAATGGTTGTTGCCTAAGACAAGAAGATTAAAAAGTCTTAAAACAAGATCAAAGACTAAAAAGATATTAAGAGTGAAGAAGGCTTCATTCTTATGTCTATATATACTTTTAAGTTAAAGCTATATGGCAATATCCTATAGGACCTTCAAAACATGTTGACTTTGCAAGACATGTATCTTAACTTGTAAGGCAAGTTATCTATATGTCCGCAACATAGTTAACTTGTTCTACAAGCTATCAACATGTGATTAACTTGTTGACTAAGTTTCTAACTTATTAATCAATTAGAAACATTTTATAAAATCAAAGCATTGTCTATGAAGCTTCTCTTTAAAATATTATGAAATAAATCTATTTTTACCTACTTCTATTTAATCATATAGTTAAATATCACAATAAATATGTATGTTTGTGACAATTAATTGATTCTAGCTTTTATTTCAGGAGACAATCATTTGGCACTTGTCGATATAATACAATGATGTGACTTTCAATAATAGACATTGACTTAAGGAAAAGATGTATAGTTTATTGTAGTTGAACTTCATTCACTATGAAAGACTTCCTTGGGCATTGACTCAAGCCAAAATGATAAAAGTCATCAAATTAGGAAGCAACTTTGTTAATAAAATTTCAATATCAATAGTGTTTCAACAAAATTTATGGTTGTTTGAGAGTTGGAAGCACCTAAATGGAAACTTGTGTATCCTAGTCTAAGTTACTAAAGTCCTTAATTAGATCTTGTTTGTGTATAAATCCTTGCGAGACCTAGTAGGGAGCTTTGTGCTTTTTCAACTTTATCTAGCACTAACGAACAACTTTACTTGTGTCAATCAAACAAACAAAGAAATAAAATAAAATGAAATCAAGTTGATGATGAAATGTTAGTTGCAAACCATTGATTCATGCAAACCAAAGTTCACTATGAATCGAGAGGAATGAGACTGATGACACCCAAACTCAGGCGACTGGAGGTGCTTGAGCGCCATGGTCGCTACCCCTCCTGAGCTCCAGAGCAGCTACTCCTAGACATAATGCTCAGAATGTTACATCTTCAACAACAACAGTCAAAACATGCTTAGGTCGAAATCAAAATCTACAGACCTATTACAACAAGATTAAACGTGCCTAGCCCATAATAGTTTGGAACAAGGCAGACTAAAAGTAGATTGGAATATAATAGATCTTTCCTTGGATTCTGTACTTTTCGGCAACTCCAATTTTGGGGGAAATAGATAGAAGTTCTAGACCTCATTCTTAGATCGATTGATATTCTTGTCCTTCGGCTAGCACCTCCATTCACGAACAAACCAAGTCGTGAATTCATATTGCCCACTAATCACATTTGCGATTCGTCGTAATTATGATTTTTTATTCCAGGAACTTGAAAGATCCAATATATCTGTGCCATCCAATGTCCACTAAAACAACGATTAAGATTTGCGCAATAGGAATTCGGACCAAAAAAATGTGTTTTCCACATTGACATCCGTCGGAAGAGTGATGTTACTGTAGACTAAATCATCGCAGACGGCGCTGCTCATCCTCACTCTGCACTATTGAGCGAGCCATCAAAGTCGTAGTATGCTATTCCTGTTAGCGCGTCCACAGCTTGCATAGTGATATCCCCTTACGGTTTATCACTGACTCGATCTGTTAGATCTACCTGCGGGAAAGGTGGATCGATCTGGTTCCGGCAACATGCAAACCGTCCGCGGCGTGATGATTGATGCGCACGTTGACTTCCGCAACCCCATGCCCAAGTCAATTTATGGGAGCAACATTTTGCAAGCTATTGTTGCAAAGAGCCAACTCGATGTGAGTCAGCGGCTGGGTTCTGGGCCCCAGCACCACCCTTATCGATCCAACACCATTGCCACTAAAGTGCTGACTGAGCGATGCTCGTGCGTGCTTTTCAATTGCGTTCCCGCCCAAACTGAACTACCGCTGCACATAAATAGTCACCTTCGGATGTGGATAATCTGTAAGCACCGCGGCTTAGAACCTTCGAAGTTGGGCTTGGAACCTGATCAGAAGTCGACAACGACATTATCAACATGGACAGACACACACGGCGAATGCTTCTCATGTTCGTGGTGACGGCCTTCGTGGCGATAACCTTAGCAGGTACTTCCGGAGATTACCCTCATTGGTCATTTACGATTTGCATTATTTCGTTTGGTAATCCAGATATCAGGCTCATTTCTCGAACTTTCACTCAACGTGTTGCTGGTCGCGGACCTCCGCAGCTGCACTCTCTCACGAGTAATTTCACACTAACCGCGCTGGAAGATTGGATTGAGAGCCTCATTCTGACATTGAATAGTTGAATTCAGGTCTGGGAGTTGCACATCCTAATTGCGAAAACGATTGCATTTGTCCCGACCAGACTGCGTGCACCAGCGTGGCAGCTGCAAGCAACTGTTGCTGGTCTAAATCCCGGAATAAATGCATCAAGGTGACGGGCAGCCTGGAGTCTGATCCCAACAACTGTGGAAGCTGCGGCAACAGGTGCAAGAGCACGGAGAAGTGCTGCGACGGGCAGTGCAAACCCCCAAGCTTTTTCGACCGAGACCGCTTGAACTGCGGCTCGTGCGGCAACAGGTGCTTTAGTTTTGAGTTGTGCTGTGGCACTTGTGTTTTAAACGACAACACGAACTGCGGCACGTGCGGCAACAGGTGCACAGGCGGGAAGACTTGCTGCAATGGCGTGTGCAAGGACCCCAAGACCGCTTTCGCAGCTGATAGCCACAACTGCGGCGGCTGTGGCATCCGATGCAAGCGCGGCCAGAGTTGTTGCGGTGGTGTCTGCAAGGATTCGAAAGTTTTGTCCACCGACAAAAAGAACTGTGGCAAGTGTGGCAACGTATGCCGGGGCTACGGGGCAGGTTGCTGTGGTGGCAAGTGCGTTAACATTCACACCGCCTACCGAAAGGATCCCAACAATTGCGGTTCGTGTGGCTCCAAATGCGACACCAGCAAAACATGCTGTGGTGGCCAGTGCATCGACAAGCTGAACTACAACCAGGACAGCAAAAACTGTGGCAGGTGTGGCAACGAGTGCAAGAGTCACGAGAAGTGCTGCGGCGGGCAGTGCAAACCTGCAAGCGCTTTCAACCGAGACCGCTTGAACTGCGGTCAATGCGGCAACAGGTGCTTTGATTTTGAGTTGTGCTGTCGCACTTGTGTTTTAAATGACAACACGAACTGCGGCAAGTGCGGCAACAAGTGCAGAGGCGGCAAGACTTGCTGCAATGGCGTGTGCAAGAATCCCAAGACTGATTTCGCATCTGATAGCCACAACTGCGGCACTTGTGGCAAAAAATGCTCGAAAGACCAAGTTTGCTGCGGGGGGAGGTGTCTGAGCAGATCGAGTTTCTCGACAGACAGCAACAATTGTGGCAGATGCGGCAACAAGTGCGTTGGTACTAAGAGCCAATGCTGCGGGGGAGTGTGCAAGGACCCCAAGACGGCCTTCTCAAGAGACCACCAGAACTGCGGATCATGTGGGTTTAAATGTTTCGATTATGAAAAGTGCTGCGGTAGCTGTATCTTGAAGGAGGATCCGTGTGTTTAATGCGGGGTCAAGTGCGACTAATCAAGTGCCTGCATAATCAGGCCGTGCAAGCACAGTGTATATTTATACGAATGGTAGTTCTATAAATTTCCACTGTGCAGACTGAATGTTGTAATGGACGCTTGAAAGTTGTAGGGGACATGAAAAATTGCATAGCCTGGGATAGAGGAGCACTTCTCTGTCCCCTTCGTTACTTTCTGAATCGTCGTCATGCAGGTCCGTTGAAGATACTGTAGAATGAGCTTGGATTTTCGTGTTAATCATCGTCAACTTCCTGACTGTGACATGCGCTCATGAATCCTTCAACATGGATCTTATAGTCTTCATCAGTGCTACAACATAAACAGCAGCTATTTGACATTATAGCATAATATGAAAGTGTTTCAACTTGGCTTTGCAATTAAATATCTTGACCAGCTAGTCATGTGGTGCAGGCACCATGCCATGGACAATTGTGCATTTAGCTTGGTGTGGTCTTTCTCTACTTCTACGAGCACAGTACCTGTCCATTACTACTGTATAGAGTACTAATCTATGAGATAAAATGTATATAAATAAAATTTGAAATTTCTATACATCTAGATTACCATTATCACCGGCTAATTATTCTCGTAATGTTTTTCGAACAATCCAAATAATACATATACAATCACTACTGTATTCTAATCCAATACGTATGTATGTATATAAATAGAATTGCACAATATATATTTTGTAAATTTTTTCAAATATCAATTTTCTTTTAAAAAAGAAATAGGTAGAGGTAACAAGCAACAATTTTTTATCTAATCAATTGCTATAAATGTTAAGTGTTAGATTAAGGTCAATTATGTACTTAATTATTGATAAGTTTTAATCAAAGAAAGTACAGATGAATTTTTATTATCTACCAATGCTATATTATTTGAATCCAAAATATTAATTAATAGATTATTCATTAATTTTTAACTTGTAAAGTAATAATATGAATTATAATTCAATAATATAATTAGATAAATTTATTATTTTAAAAAATTAATATCTTATTTTATTTCTCAAAATCAATTATGGATCTTAACATAATATACCATAATTTGACTTTTGTAATCCTATCTATTATCCACAAGATAACTTCATCATATGCAAAGTTTATTTAAAAATAACTTCTAGTTAATTTCTAAGTTATTTTCCATTTAATAGTAATTAGTCTCAAAGATGTATTTACATATAATGATAATTAAATTTTATTTTATCTAAACCTTAAATCTCTTCTTATAATCTAAAAAAATACATGAAATATTTTAAAATATCTATATTTAAAATCTTGATCTTTTTAAAATCCTAATTTCTATCAACTTTAAATCACAAATCTATGCATTTATGAACAATCTAAACAAAATCTTAAATAAGTTCTAAAAAATCTTAAGTAAATTCAATCAAATCCTAAAAAATCACTAAGTATATTCTATCAAATTTTCCTCAAACTTCTAAAAAAATTCAAGTAAATTCTAAATAATTTTTAATAAATCTTTAAAAAATAATAATTAATTTAAACTAAATCCTAAGTAAATTTTCACAAATCTAAACAAATACTATTTAAAAACTAATCAAATCTTTATTAAATCCTAATTAAATCTTAACAAATCATAATAAATTTTAATAAATTTTAACCAAAAAATATAAAATTATATAATTTTTGAATCCATGAATTTTTTTTGTTAACTTAAAGAAATCCTAATTATTAAATTTTGGTTAAATTTTATTTAAGTTTGGTTAGAATATTAATAAGATTTATTAGGATTTAATTAGGATTGGTTAAAATTTGGTTAGATTTATTGGAATTTCTTTAGGATTTCATAAAGTATATCTTAAGTTTCTTTAAAATTAATAAGGTATATTTGAAATATTTTTTTCATGGACATACATAAATATGTAGAAATTATAAATATATATAAAAAAATTAGAATGTAATGTTCATTAAACCTTTTCATTTTTTTATAAGAAATAATTGTTTAATTCTTTATTTTATTTTGATAGATGTTGTCAATAAAAAAATATAAATCTTCTTTATTATATTTGTAAGATTCTTTGATGGCTTCTAAATATATTTATTAATATCATATTTGTACAAATGTACAAGATATTCCAATCTATTTTGGTGTTGTTTTAAGTCTAAGATTTCTTTGACTTCAAATGCTTGATTATTATCTACTTCTATAGAAAGAAGTAGCATTTGTCTTCTTTTCAGCAAATCTATTAATTTATATGACTTAAAAAGGATACATAAAACACATGATGGATCTACAAGAACTTTAATAGATATAATTGGTATACAACTAAATTGATCTATTCATAAATAAAAAATAGTTTTACACTATAATTATTTTAATTTTTAAGTACAAATTGTCTTAATATTACAAAAAATTAATTATACCTTGTTGTCTATAAGAAATTGAGGTTCTTTCTTTGAGGAGACATATGTATTGATATTTTGTTGTTTCAATCTTCTTTTAATAGAGCCTTTATTTTTGTATATAGCATTAATAAATAATTTGTTAAATCTTTAGTTACAAGATTATAAACTTTTGAATAGTTAAAAGTATCAAGTAATAGATCTGTCATGGAGATATATTTTTATCTTAATAGTTACTTATATGATTAGATAGAAGTAGGTAAATAAAAATTAATTTCATAAAGTCTTCTAGAAAAGCTTCTTAGAAGCTTCATAGACATAGTTTTGATTTTAGATGAATTTATAGGATAGAAACTTTGTCAACAAGTTAACCACGTGTTGGTAGCTTGTGGGACAAATTAACTCGGTGTAATAGCTTGTGGAACAAGCTAACTATGTGGTGTATACATAGATAATTATCCTTGCAAGTTAAGACATGTGGCTTGAAAAGTCAACACATTTTGGAGGTCCTATCAGACATCGCCATATAGCTCTTAATTAAGAATATATATAAAGGCAAGCATAAAGCCTTCTTTACTCTTATCAACACTATTTTAGTCTTTAATTTTAATTCAAGACTTTCTAGTCTTTTTGTCTTTAACAATAGACATTCTAGTTTAAAACTATATCATCTTTGAAGGATTTTCTAATCTTTTTGAGTGACAAAAGAGTGTATTGACATTTTAGTTCTTTGAAGTTCATATCCTTGATAGTTTGATAAGAGTACTGATATATTGTTTTTGTCTTGTTTTAGAAGTGAGTAAATTATCTTAATTCTATTGTTGTATTTTGAAGATTATGGACTATCGACCTTTAAACAAAAAATCTTATTTTTTAATATTGATCTTTTCCTTAAAGAAAGTGGATTATCCTTCTTTGTAGAAATTTTTATTAGAGGTTTTGGATTACCCTCCTCTTATTTAACTTTTTGAATTTGTTTGAGTTGTCTACAATATGAAAGATTATAGATGCTACTCCTAGCGGAAGTGATAATAGATTTGCAACTATTGTGGATCTTTATGAGCTTATTAACACTCTTAGGGCCGAAATTTTATACATCACCAATATCAACCATGGAAGCACTATTTCTATACATATAGAAGAAGTCCAAAGTCTACAAGAAGAAGTTGTGTAGTTGAAGGAAATAAGTGAATCAGCCTCAGAACCAAATTCAGAGGGTCTTGCTTCTATAAGCCGAAGAGAAATAAGAATTAGTATGCTTGAGAAGTTTGATGGAATAAGATCAAAATTTTAAGGATTTTACAATAAATTAAGCTCTACTTAAGATTACACCTTTTCTAATACGTAGCTGGATTTACTCAAGTCAGCTTTTTAGATGCATTTCTATCTAGAAGTGCTCTTTTTTTATTTGTATCTTTAATGAAAAATGATTCACAATTTCTTTTTAATTTAAATTCATTTTTAGGAGTATTTACGGCTACATTTGAAGAAAGTGATCAAGAATGAGTAGCAACAACTAAACTCTTATTTTTATAAAAAAGATCATAATCTGTCACTACATATGTTGTTGAATTCCAAAACCTTGCTTGTGGTATGGTGAAGAATGACAAAGTACTTATCAATCAATTTTGATATGTATTGAAGGTTAGCATCAAAGATTTGTTATTAAGAATGCCAAAAGTAAAATCTTTAGAACAATTTTTTTCTCAAGCCATTGCATGTAATAATCGATTATTTGAAAGGCGTCAAGAACAAAGACTTAGTTGAAGAGGAATAAGTTAAATAATGATAATATCTTCTAAGTTTTCAAAAACATTTTCATCAAGACTGAAGCTAATGTAAATTGATATGATACGTCTTAATCCTCTCATAGAGTAGGAAAAGATTCAACATTTTCAAGAGGGTTTGTGTTTACATTATGGAGAAGCTAAACACACTGCTCAACATTATCCAAAGAAGTAATGCAATTACAAAATGAGTAGCACAATTACCAAAGATTATAATGTGTCGAAAAAGGAGTTTCTTTAGATACAATAGGAACCGTGTGGCTAAAATCATGTGCAACATCTACTAAAGGTTCTATTCTTTTTTAAATCCCTCACCTTGTTTTACAATAGATGCATGTTTAATACTTAAAAATCACAAAGTCTTTATCTTATTAGATTCAAGAGCCTCAGCGTGTTTTATAGACAAAGTTTTTGTCAAAAATTCAAAAATATTTTTAGTCAAGAAAACTAAATCCATACATGTAGAAGTCAGAGATGGTCATTCATTGACTTTTGGAAAAGTTATCTATGAGACTATTCCTTAAGATGTAAAAATTAAAGATGATAATAGCATAGTAGTATTTAATGTAATAAGATCTCCTTCCAATCTAATTATTTTAAGATTATCATGGCTAGAAAAATAAAATCTTTAAATAAATTGGATTTCTTCTAATCTTAATTTTTTTGGTAGTATAATCTAAGATCGAGTTAGTGAAGTAGAAGTACATAAGTCTAGTACATCCAAACTTTTACTAGTAGGTGCGAGAACTTTCATACATACTGCAAAAAAAAAATCGTCTTTTGCTATTTATGCTATGCCCATTTCTAATGATAAAAAAATATCAAGTAATATTCCTAGTTAATATCAAGAATTTCTAGATATTTTTGAAAAGAAAAATATAGATATTCTTTTAGAGCATCGACTTTATGATTGTTCAATTGATTTGCAAGAAAGAGCTCAACTACCATTTTGACTAATCTATAGCTTATTGCAAAATGAGTTGGCTGCATTAAAAGAGAATATTGATGAACACTTGGCAAGAAATTTCATATGCCATTCTAAATGTGTAGTTGATGCTCTTATCTTATTTTTGAAGAAGAAAGACAGATCTTTGTGAATGTATGTGGATTATCAAGGATTCAATAAGATCACCATCAAAAATAGGTATCCTTTGCCTTTAATTTTAGAACTTCTTGACTAACTCAATCAAGCAAAGATCTATACCAAAATAAATCTACGAGGAGCATATAACTTAATTTGTATGAAAAAAAGAGATGAATGGAAGACTACTTT